AGAGCAAGAAGCAGGGAGGGACAGAGAGAGAGGCAGAATGGGGGACAGGAAGAGGGAGAGAGAGGGAGAAATAAGTGGTGACAGCGAAATAAGCCAGAAAGAAAAAGAAAAATACCAGACGGTCTCACTCATAGCAGGAATCTAGAAAACTTAAATAAGGGACCAGGAAAATGAATAACTATAAGAAAGAAAAAATCAAAATCAACAAACAACTATGAACCAGAGACACTCTATGGGGGGGGGGAGGGGAAAGGAGGGATTGGGGTTGCAATTGTATGGGGAACATGAAAATAAAATTAAAAAAAAGAAAATAAATAAGTGGTGATGGGTGGGGAGGGGAGTAGGGGAGGGACAAGGTGGGGAGGGGGAGCCAGGGGCAAGGAGGAGGGAGAGAAGGAACTGGAGAGGCTGAGGGGGAAGACAATGAGGGGAATTAGGGGGAGAGGGAGAGCCTTGATAGGGAATGATGACACCAATTGCTAAGGAAACCACTTCCAATCTCCAAATATACGTGTCCAAGTTTAAGATGCATGGCTCTTGATTTTTCCTCCCAGCTCTGAAACAGCCAATTGGCATTTGATAGACAATCACGTTCCTTCTCTGAACCCCATCAGGTGTGTGGGCCTAGGTCCTAGACCAAAGAAGATCAAGGTTTGATTCAGAGGCCTGTGTGACTCTGGGCTTGTTAATTAACCTCTCTTAGCCTCATCTGTTCACTGGGCATTTTAACAGTGACTACACCTTGTGTGGTAGCTAATCCAGATGAGACAACCTTTCTGGGGCATGGGGTACAGTAAATATTCAAGAAACAGCATACGCCAGCATTTTTACCCACCATCTCCTTGTCTTGCCCTCCTCACTGGCTGTGCAGATGAATCAAAGTATCAGGCAAGAAAACACTTACATGATTTAAATGGCACTTTATAGTTATAAGTTGCTTTTATTAAATAGTGTTGTGGTTATTGCCTTGCCTGTTATAATATTGAGCAGGAGATACAGTTTTCATGAAAGTGCTTCTCATAGTCCCCCTGGATAATGAGTGATTGGATCTGAGAGGCTATCTTCTATGAGGAAAGGAAAAATAATCCATACCCACTCTTGCTTTGAAAAGCTGAGCCTCCCAGCACTGAAACAGAACATTCATTACTCAGTGAGGATTAATTAGCTGTCGGGTATTATTAAACATTCTCACTCTCCAGATCCACGTTGAACTGAAAACTAAGAAAGTGAGGGAGAGGTAATCATAGCACAGGGAAGGAAAAAAAAAAAAAAAAAAAAGCCACAATTGCTGGCAATGCAAATTTCAAGAGCTGAGCATGTTAGTAAATTACAGTCTGATTAATATCACGTCAGCTCATTCTCTGTTTGGAGTCATTGTCTGAATCTGCGGTCCTCAGGGTCACCTGGTTTGTCCTGTCACTGGGATGAGAAAAGGAGGCTTGCCTTCTCAGTGTTCGCACGGAAACAACGTGGAAGCATAGATATTTATACCGAAATGTAACATGTTTGAAAACTTAGGAAGGTAGAGCAGGCGAAAGTAGATATGAGTATTTATAATAACATAGCAAAGGCACCTCCAGAGCTGGGGCAGTAACTGCTGAGGTGGCTGGAAAGTAACAGATTCTCGTAAAACACTAGCGTGGAGGAACCCTGGAGAGGATGAGCCCAATAACCACAGACCCCTTGTCTCAACCACTGGGGGCTCATATTAAAATGTAGATTCCCAGGATCCCAATTTAGAGGGAACCTCTGGGCACGGTTCCCTGGAATCTGCATTTGTCAATGGCCCCACTGTGGCAGCACCTTGGGCCTGGACATGCCTCTGCTTAGCAGCCCAGAGGCAGAGGTGGGACTGATGGGCCTAGGGTCAATCAGATAGTTAAGACGAAAGCAAGGAACAGAATCAGACATTTCTAACTCCTGGCCATACCTCAGGGCTCCTTCCATGTTGAATAGGTTCAAGTCCAGTTCACAACATAACACAGTGTGGCCTGGGGGAGAATTTCTGCTCTCTTGGGAATTTTAATGCATAGGCCTTCTCTCTTGCCCATTGCAGGGATCACATCTCCCAGGGGTTAAACACAGATATAACGAAACCCCATAGGTGGCCACAGACAACCCCATAGGAGGCCTCAGACCCATAGCAGGCAGTGTAGAAGGCACCAGAGAGTTTCCATGCACAGGGCCGAAAGGGGCAAGGGCAGACCTCTGGACTGCCAGCCTGGAGCGGCCACTGAGTTGGTGTTGGTGAACAGTTGTAGAGGGAATATAGCCATCTAAGAAGTACATGGAAAAAATAAGAATTTTCTCATATACATAATCCCACGATCAGTGGAGTGTAATAACAACCTTGATAATGAAGATGCTGATAATGATCCTAAAAGTACCAGCAGGGAACTCACATTATTGAGAGCTTATTGTGAGTGAGGCACTAACTACACAGCCTAAGCTCCATATCAGATGTAACAGTGTACCGAAGCCTCATAATACCCAGAAGAAGCAGTGATCCATTCTCACCATCCCTGTCATGCAGATACCACATTGGAGGCACAAGGAGGGTAAATGCCAGCCTGTGGGACTATATCAAATTAAAGAGCTTCTGCACAGCAAAAGAGACAATAACAAAAACAAAGAGAAACCCCACCGACTGGGAGAACATTTTTGCACCCAACACTAATGATAAAGGACTGATCACAAAAATCTGCAAAGAGCTGATGAGACTCAACAACAAAGAAAACAATCCAGTCAAAAAATGGGCAGAAGAGCTAAAAAAGAAACTTCTCTGAAGAGGAAATGCAAATGGCCAACAGGAATATGAAAAAATGTTCAACACCACTTGTAATCAGGGAAATGCAAATCAAAACTACCATGAGATACCATCTGACACCAGTGAGAATGGCACATATTAAAAAAACTAGCAACAACAAATGTTGGCGAGGTTGTGGAGAAAAAGGAACTCTCCTGCACTGCTGGTGGGAGTGCAAACTGGTCCAACCACTATGGAGAGCTGTGTGATTTCTTGACCTACTAAACATAGAGCTTCCATAGGATCCAGAAATTCCACTCCTAGGTATTTACCCAAAGGACACAGAAACATCAATTCCAAAGGGCACCTGCACCCCTATGTTTATAGCAGCACTATTTACAATAGCTAAGCTTTGGAAACAACCCAAATGCCCAAAAATAGATGACTGGATCAAGAAGATGTGGTACATATACACCATGGAATATTACTCAGCATTCAAAAAAGATAAACACATGCAATTTGCAGCAACATGGATGGAGCTGGAAGGGATCATGCTCAGCGAAATAAGCCAAAAAGAAAAAGAAAAATACCGGAAGGCCTCACTCATAGCAGGAATCTAGAAAACTTAAATAAGGGACCAGGAAAATGAATAACTATAAGAAAGAAAATATCAAAATCAACAAACAACTATGAACCAGAGACACTCTACGGGGCGTGGGGGGCGGGGAAAGGAGGGCTTGGGGTCAAAATAAGGGGGTTGTAATTGTATGGGGAATATAAAAAATAAAATTTAATTAAAAAAATAATAAATGTCAGCCTGAAAGTGCCAGAATTCCAACCCTCCACAGACTGACTCAGCATTCCTACTCTCCAGCACACTCCCCTCCAGCACTAGAGGGGTCTCCCCTCCAGACCCCATCTAAAAAGGCAGCCTGGCAACTTAGTTCTCTAGGCTAAAGGCAGTGGAGCAGGAAATGTTTGTCTGTTCAGAAGTTGCTAAGCAGAAGACCAGGACCCACCAGGTCCCCCAGGAGCCCCACACTGTGGCCCATCATATAGTCTGCTCAAAAAGCATTTGCTGAATAATGAAGATGTGAATGAATGAAGATGTGAATGAATGAATGAATAACTATATATACGAATGAATGAACAAAGAAACAAGAGACCTAATATGTCACATAATGATTCCATCTGCTTTCAGACCTAGGAACTGCATCCCCCCACATGGACCTCATTGTCTCTGTTTTTGATCTTCCGTGGAGTAGCTGAAAACACATATATTATACAGTTTTGAAATTCCCTTGGGTCTTGGGCTGGGCTCCACATGTACTGCTTTACCACTCATACTGAATGCATCCCAAACCAAACTCAGCACCTGGTCCTAAGGCACTTTAACCTCCATCTAGAGAGCCTTCCCTTAAAAGAAATCTATTTTTAATATCACTTCCCTATGAGACCTTCCCTGTTCTCCTAGAATCAAATGTAATTTCTCCCTCCTTTGATCAAACTGCAATTTTCCAACTCTCATTGCATTTATCTTACTCTACTTAGTGTCATAATCATTTGTATATTAGTCGTACAAATCCTCCATCTTTACCAGACGGTGCATTTCTGGAGGGCAGGAAGGAAGAACTCAGTCTAGTGGTACAGATCATTTATTGAGTCCCTGCCATGGAGTAAAGGGCTTTCCATTCTCACTGCATTTTATTCTCATAAGCCCATGGGAAGTAAGTATTACATTTATTGCTTTGCAGAGGGAGAAGATGTATGTCTAAACTTCTATGACTAAATCTTGGACAAAAGGTTAAGGGACTCCTTTGATATTCTGTGGGAGGATTCAAACCTACGCCGGTTTGGTTCAGAATCTACATCCTCCAGCTTTTGATCAGGGTAGTCCCCTCCCCTGTACCTGGGGTACAGAAGATGCTCAAGACATTTTAGATAATGTGAAGAGAGAGAGGCTTAGGATACACAGCCTCCTATGGACAGCAGGGCCTAGTGGGCATGTCCTTAGGACATAGGGAAACACACGGACTTGTATCATGACTGCTTGGCATCTTTCCTGCTTCTCCCTCTGCCACCAGAGACTTAGGTAGGCAAGTAAGGCTCCTCCTGATCTCTCTGCCCCCTCCATTACAGTTGCGACCAATGGCGACCGTCAACCTTAGTTGACAGTTGGTCACCTTAGGCGACTGCCCCCCACCCCTAGGGCCAGGTATTTGAAAGATGGTGGCACAGTGGCTGCCAGGCTCACCCGCAAGGTGGTGATGGTGGCCGGATCCCGGAGTCGGCCTTCCTCATCCTTCAGGTTGTAGCCCTCTGGTCTCTTGTCACGCTCGCTGACTTTCCACAGCTTCACAGTTTTGTCTATGGAAGACACCAGAGAAAGTCAACATTACAGTGAAGAGAAAAATGAAGGCGTCTTCTTGAGGGGCGAGAAGGCGGAGAGGTGCATGTAATGAAGGAAGGATCTAGAACTGCAGCTGGCTCAGGTCCAGGGCTTTAGTCCATAAAAAGTGGGTCATTTCAAAGCAGAGCTTATGTTTCAAAATAAAAACATGTATGTGATTGCACGATCGTCTTCTTGACAAGGGACTGTTGAGTCCACAGCTTGACATTAATTTGGTTTTGTGATTAAGAACAGTAGCCACATATACAGATATAACCATGTAACTATGTTAGCACTTTACATGGAGAGTTTCTTCACAGTTCACAATAACTGTATATACTATTCTGACCTGTATTTTAGCGCCCCACCTCACATGTCCACACCCTGCACCCCAACTCCTTCACCCTCTCTGATTGTTATCACTCCTACTTCCCAAGCTCCTGTCACCTGATTTTATCATAGCTACCTGTACACATGAATCTGCTGCCCCAGGGCTTTGCACAAGCTGTGTCTTCTGCCAGAAAAGCCCTTTACTCTCATTTAGGTGATTTGTTTCTTCGCTTTGTGTTCTCTGTTTATGTCCCAAATTCAGAGGGGCATTTCCTAACCAACCTAGAGAAAATGTGTCCTTATCATTCTCTCTTGCTTTATTTTCCCTCCTCATACTTTTTGCCACATCATGATGTCTCCTTCCCTAGAATGTAAAATCAGTGGCGGCCGGGAGTGCTGTCCTGTTCGTCACTACACCTCCAGTGCCCACCACACAGTTGGGCCTCAGTGGAGCTATTAGCTATTAGCTAGAAGAGTAAACACACAGTGCCCATTCCTAGCAACACTCAGCAAATAAAATGGCAAGGAGATGCATCACAGTGCTCCCTTCCCCTGCTGGTATTATTGGAGTCCCCACCTTTCCACCGTCCTAGTCCTTTATGCTTGCTGACACCTGTCTTTCTCTATTACCCTGAAGCAAGGAGAGAAATCCAAGGGCACAGGGTCAGGTAGGCCATGGGAATGAGCAGAGCTGCCGGGGGTTTTGGGGAGCCTGACATAGCAAGCTCCACCTGTAGGCTTTCAATTCCATTTCTTAGGGAAACATGTTGGGGCACAGCACATCATGTCTGTGGGGCCCATGGCTTTATGCAACTTTCTTATCAGATCCTGTACTTGTCACCTGTATGTGTCCTAAAATCTCTTTTGGAAGGTGGATATGACTGTGTATTCCTCTATGCATGCACAAGGTGGGTTTTGGAGTCAGACAACTTTGGGCGGGTCCCCACTCCAACTCCAGCCTCCTAGTCAGTGCTAACTAGTATTTCTTGGGGTGAGGAACCAAATTATCAGGGAAAATAGTAGAGAACGCTCAGTTAAACTTCAACGGCAGATAAACAATGGATCATTTAGTGTAAGTGCGCGTCAAGTATTTCAATCTGACAAATGAAAAATGCTTCATTTCTGTTCCTAAACTGGGTGTGTGGTGTGGAGGAGATGGCGTCGGGGGCTTCTTGCGTGATGACGTCAGCACGTCCTCTCTCCACTCTGGTCAGGACATGGACTAAGCCTTTATCAGGATCCCTGTGCTCTGCTGGCTCCTCATCTGACGCTTCCATGTCTCCTCAACAAACCCTGTCCTCCTGACACGCACCACACTGACCGGCAGGCTTCAACAGCACTTGCTCCTGCAGCAGGTCGGTGGACCTCAGGGCTGGTCACCCTGCAGGCAGGGCCGCCTGGCTGCTAAGTGTCAGATTCACGCATCCCCAGTTGCGCGCCCTGCTGCCTCGTATGGGGGACAGAAGGCGAGGAAGCTTTTCCAGATGCTGGGCTGAATTTAGAACTTTCTGTCTCCACGCCCACACTCCTTCGCCCTCTTTGGATATCCTGCTGTAGACTGAACTGTTTTTAGGGTGAGAAAATGAGACATGGGCCCTATTTATACAGTCACTTGGGAGCTACCCATCAGCTAGAGCTCAGAGGAACACAAATCAGTGAATTTTAACACCAAATATTTTCTATTGCGTGGCAAGGCAAACTTCACCTTTGCTGTTCTTATTTTCAATGATAAATTGCTAAATGGAAAATAAAGAAATTACAGATAAAACATAAAGAACAAAAGTTACCTATAATCCCCCAGTCAGAGATAATCACTGTTTACATTTTTCATACAGGCTTGTGGTATTTTTTCTATGCATTTTTTTCTGGGGGGGAGTGTACAAACCTATAATATTGCACATATATAGATTTTATATTTTCTCATTTTCATTACATGACTATTTCATTGTAATTATAAAGTGAAAATGAGCATAAAGGTAAAAATAGAAATAAAATCTGCCATTATTCCACTAGACAGATAAATATTTTTTTTTCAGGTTGCTGTAGAATTTTATTTGCTTCTGTTTGCTTCTATTTTAGACATTTCAGCAATGAATACATATTACTTTGGTAATAAGGACATTAAAGATTTTTCTTTTTGTCTTCAGTGCAGCTTTGTGTTAACTCTTAACATGAGCAAACAAGTCCAGATTCTGGCATTTTCAATGGCAACGAGTTGCTGGTGACTACATATAGTATTAGCTGCATATAGTATATAGCTAATTTTACATATTTTTTTTTTAACTGGTCCAACCACTATGGAAAGCTGTGTGGCAATTCCTCAACCTGCTAAAGATGGAGCTCCCATATGATCCAGCAATTCCACTCTTAGGTATTTACCCAAAGGACACAGAAACATTAGTTCAAAAGGGCATCTGCACCCCCATGTTTATAGCAGAACTATTTACAATAGCTAAGCTATGGAAACAACCCAAATGCCCAAAAATAGATGACTGGATCAAGAAGATGTGGTACATATACACAATGGAATATTACTCAGCAATCAAAAAAGATAAACTCATGCAATTTGCAGCAACATGGATGGCGCTGGAAGGGATCATGCTCAGTGAAATAAGTCAGAAAGAAAAAGAAAAATACCAGATGGTCTCACTCATAGCAGGAATTTAGAAAACCTAAATAAGGGACCAGGAAAAAGACTAATTATAATAAAGTAAAAATCAAAATCAACAAGCAACTATAAACCAGAGACATACTGCAGTGGGGGAGAGGAAGGAGTAGGATCAAAACAAGGGGGGTGGGAATTGTATGGGGACTATAACCAAGATGAAAATGCATACATTGTGCAGAAATGAAAAATGATGTAAAAAATATATAAAAATTAAAATAAAAATAGATAAATATTATGAAAGTTTTGTATATTAACAAAAGGAAATTTGTTTTATGTATGCATATATAAACATTATTACTGTCTTTTAATAAGCATGACATACTGTACATAGTTTATACTTTTCTCCATATATCTATATCAACATCTATTATTATAAACACATAATTTATAATAGTGAGAATTTGTTAATAATTAGAGATCTAATAGTGGGAAACAGTATACTGTGGGAGCATCATACAAGGGAACAGTGTGGTTATTGAAAATGTGATCTTTTAGAGTGGTTACCAATAGGAAGATGTTCCTATTGTTAGATATTACATCATCAAATAAAAAATCTGGTTACAAAACAGTTTATAGAATACATCACATTTTTGTTATCTATGCCTATTTGCTTTTTTTCTTTAAAAGACATTACCAGTGCTTTTCTCTGTGTGGGGACACTTTTTTTATTCTCACTTTGTTTCTTTGTATTTTCTAATTTTTTTTTTTTACCATGAACATATACTAGTTGCACACAAGAAAAATGAATTAAGTAGAAAATCCCCACTCATCACAGGTATTAAGGCAGAAGTCAAAAGCAAGGTAATGCGATGTGTTTTCATTGGGCAAATAATTTCCGGGTCTAGATTCACACTTGAATGTCAGTTGTATTTTTCATTAAAAATTGTAACATTGGAAATATATTCCAGCAGAAAGTAAAAAGTGTATCCAACTATAATGAGATAAGCACAGTTTTTTAAAAAAGATAATTGATGGTAAATTCAATCCAATTCCCCATGGTTGGGTAGCCTGGGGTCATTCTTGACTTTATCATCACACAATTTTTCTTCACTCACTATCTTGAAGCTTTGTGGATAAAAAAGTGTAAGGAACATGTGGCTGCTACTATGAGTAATGACTTTTTCTTTCTTCTGGCTGGTTCTCTGAGCAGTTTATCATTACTTGTGGCAGCTTTTAAACACAATCTTATCATCGATCTTCATTTTCTCTTTTGTACAGTAATTCCAATTGTCTTCCATTAATTTTTTTGCATGTTAACCTATTTGGCTTAAGGGAAATTCTCAACCTCAATATTAGTATAAAAAAGAAAATCACATAAGAACATGGGAGTTTCTTTCACAAGAATCATTTTGAGATGCTGTTGGCATATGAAATAGCATCCCAAATGGGAAGATAATATCCTTGTTAATCAAAAAACTATTTAAAAACTCAATTAACAGAACATTATGCTATATAATTAATCTTCATTGCATTTCACTGATTTCTTTCTCATTCTCCCACAAAGTAGTTAATAAGACTTTGAATTTTATTATAATAATCAATAGGTTAAATTTCATAATATGAAGTAAGCCAGCTATAGAAGATAATCAGACACTTTTTCTCTGCATGAGATAATTAAGTCAAAACCATCAGAAGTCTCTTTCATTCTAAATAGTGTTGAATGTACAGAGCCTTTGACAAGGGAAAATTAAATAGCTAAACTAAGAGGGAAGAAATGAAAATAAAACCATGTGGTTTGGCGATCAAGAAATCAGGATCAAAAACAGAACAATAACTACAGAGATGAAAAAGAATTGGATTACTTGGTGTCTGTGCTTGAATAACCCTAAGCTGGCTGTTTCAGAATTGTTTTAGATTCATACATTGTAGTTGAGGATTTGGGGTCATGTGCATTATAAATTTCCCCATTTTTCATAAGATAAAGCTCATTGTAAATTTAGAAAATAAAAATGATAAAAACACAAATTTACAAGTCACTCATAATACAAATAAAAAATTTATCATGACATATTTCAGTGTATTTTCTTTCGGTCTTTAAAAACATTATCATGTTTGATCATATCCTATTCTCAGTCTGCATTTTTTTTCACCTGATAAATGAGCATTATCCTTTCTTTTTACATGCTGGTGGTATGCAAAAAGCAAATGCCTTTTCTTTGATTTATATTCAAATGTATACTCCTTATAGACTCACAAATAGGATGAAATGAGTCATTCCACTCTCCAGCTTACTTGGGAGAGGGCTTTGATTTTACTACACTAATCCTTTTAATTGTTATCAGTTAGTACCCATTAATATATGATTTTATTCTGAACTGTTGTGAGCATAGAAGGCTCACAGTGAGGGTATTAAGAATATTTAGGGTATGTAATTCCACTGTCTAAAGACTAACTGAATTAACATGTAATATGGCTCGCTATTCAACCACCAGCATTCTCTTCTTCTGACCTATTTATATCAACTCCCCCCAAAAGCGGTGGGAAAAGAGCATGGAGGGACAGAATTCTTGATCAATTCTTTGGGCCAGTCTCCCTTTCTTCTTGACCTGTGTCCTAGCTGAGAACTAGATTGTGTCAAAGAGAAATAGACATCTGCTTTACCACCCCCCAAATGCATTCAGGGATTAATAACTTCTATTCAGTATGCCACACAAATGGGACAGCATGTCTAGTTTCCTTAAATATGTTCCCAGAACAACACTCGGTCAATCTTAAGACAGGAAGTCACATTCCAAAAACCTGGAAATGATCCCCAAAACTGCAGATCTCACATAATTTGGTCATACGTTTAATTTTTGAGAAAGCATATACTATTTATGAGAGACTAGTCTGAGCCAGGTACCTTGCTAGGCAGCTTGCAAATATTGTTCCTAAGTTTTTCAACCACCCTCGAGGTAAAAAGGAAAACTGAGATGAAGAGATTAAAATATGTGTTGTGACTGACTGTATCTCTGAAAATATCAGCCAGGTCATCTCAACCTACCGTTAGTAGACAGAAGGAAGTAGGCTGCATTCTGCTGAGGGAGCCATCTTATTTTATTGATTTTTTCTTCTATTTCTAAACTCTTCAGGTAATCGAACTCTGGTTCATGGCTCTGGAATGTGCTGTAAACATTGTATTCACCCCTACGATGAACCTGATTTTTACTCTGTAGGAAGGGGAAAAATATATGAGATCAAATCACATAAATTATGTGTACATTTTTTAAAGGTGCCAATATTTTATTTTAGTAAGTATGGATATCAAAAAACTTTATCATAATTGTTTCATAAAAGAAAGGACATTTTAACACCAAGAAAGTAGAAAGGGTATACACAGTGTAGTGCCAGTTCCTAAACATGGAGTATGTTTAAAGAAAGATTCTTTTTATTGTACTTATTTTGCCCCAGACCTATAAGATTAAGCCCTGGCATACCAGAGTCCCCAATATTGGCCAAAATTTCAGTGGTCTCATGGGACCCAGGAGCAGGAGACCAGTAGACATTCAAAGACACCAGCCAACCAAGGGCAAAAAGGACCTCATGGGGGATCATCTGAGATGGAGGATTAAGGGCCATTTTGATTGATTGACTGATTGATTAATTGACCAGTTGCATTATTTTTTATTGTAGTAATATTGGTTTATAAGACTGTGTATGATTCAGAGGTAGAGTTCACACCTCTTCAGGTGTATGTTGTCACTCCACACCACCTCCAAATCCATAATCCTCCACCATGGTCCATTGGGCCCCTTCCCCCTTTTTGCTCTGACCCCCCAGTGCTCCCCTCTGGTAGCGTCAATCTTACAGTCAGATTTCTAGGGTTTGTTTTAGGAGGCATTTTTTTGTGTGTGTGTGTACAAAGTCATCAGAGGTGAGATGGGCAGGACCCCACAGCCCCAAATTCTGCCATGGCTCAATGGCCTTCAGAGCATTTGATTGTGCACCCCTATTGGTAAATGTTGGGGCCTCCATTATACATATAAGTTAGTTATGTTATAGAGATGAATTTCTGCCTTAATATATGGTATACAGCATAGATATACATGGAAATAGCAAAAATAGGACATGATTTTGAAATCAATACAAATGGAAGTGCTAGCATTTTCTTTCCGTACCCTAATATGCTTTGGACACCCTTAGGAGGGACCAGCCTATACTGAGGTCCATATATACTATATCAGTCCCTTAAAAAGTGTACCAAGTTATGGTCTGGGCACCTTGCGCTGGCTTTTTAAGTCTCACCAGATGCTCACAGCAACTCTGAAAGGTAGGCAGGACAGAGAACTGTGCAGAAGCAGCTCAAAGACATTAAAACCTCTCCAAGATCACAAAGCTTCCAAGTGGCAGATGGGGGCATCAGATCTCCCCCACCCCCCATGTTTCCCTCCCCAATAACAAATAAACAGGAGCACAGAGAGTCCTCCGCATCATTAGGAGGATGATGAGACTTTACCTCTGGCTTCCCCCAGCTTCGATTATGCAAAGAGCAAACAGCAGGAACTAAATAAATGATGAGGGAATAAAATAAATGGGAAAAAGTCCCCAGAAAGGGCCAGAGACAGAAGAAAGATGGAAAGGAAGTAAAAGAGGGCATGAAAGAGAGAAAGGAGGGAAAGAGAAGGCAGATTTTATTTTAGGCATTTGAGGACCTTTTTACCAAGAGCTGCCAGATTCCAGCTTTGGGAAACTGTTCAAAATTCAAATTCTGGTCTCATTAAACATTTGTCATAAAAGTGTGATTCTTAATAAAAAACTCAATTAAAAAATTTCTCGTTCTGGTGGGATATTGAACATCCAAACTGCAATGTCGAACTCGCTGATGGATGATGGTCCTGACAAAGGAAGCCCCGTGGAGGATGCATTTATGGGGGACTGAGGATGTCTCTGGAGAATTCCCCCACGGAAGTCACAGGCCTGACCCAGATGCTGTCACAGAGCTCTGCTCCTCAGGCTCAGCTTTCCTTCCCACTCCCAGCCTCGCACAGAGCTTAACACTTGACTGCATGTTATTACCCTCCATGCTTATTTTTTATTGAACAAAACACCTTCCTTTGGAGAATGTGTCCCTCTTCATTCTCCTAATGAATGGGGCCTCCCAAATATTTCACTAAATTAAAATAGGTGAAACCTAAAAATAGCTAACGGAAAATGTGGAGCAGAACAGTACCGCAACATGCTGCCTTGGGTAATTTATGCTAAATAGCTCCTCCCGTTCCTTTTTATCATCACTAAGAACCTAATTGGATTTTTTTTTTTTTTAAATGGAGAAAGAAGTTTTGAAATCAGTTTTAGCAGGACTTTAAAAGCTGGCATAGTTGTCACTGTCCTGCCTATTGCAGAGAGAGCCAGTCCACCTTAACGATAAATTTATAAGAGTGTTGATTTGCTACCATCCAAATCAGACTGTCAAGTGTGTGTAGTATGTGCCAGACCAATTAGCACTAGGCAGCTCTGGAAAAGCAGGAAAAATTCCAGGTCACGAAGAGCTATTAGTTCCTACTTGCCAACCACATTTTCACGTTTCCAGGGCCAATGGAATAGGCTGGGTGCCTGATTTAATGCTGAACACTTGAATTTCTACAGAACCCCAAGGGATGATGATGCCCTTATAGAAATTAATTGCAAATAATGTGCAATTACCAAATATATCACCTCTAAATGAGGCTTTCCTTTTTTGAGGGGAGGTGTAACACAAATGGCTCTGAGGCACAAAGCAGGCTTCAAATTGCTAGGGACGTCTCTGGTGAAACCTTCCCCCGCTTGGGCCTCCCCCTGCGCTGTGCTGGGTGAATCTCAGAGGCAGGCAGATAGCAGATGGGAGAGTTCCCAGAACGCAGACTCGCCTGCTGGAAGCTCCGGGACCATGCCAGGGGAGGCTAAGAAAATCAAATTGGGCCATAATTCCACTCTGACAAAACAGAAGCAGACACCCCAAAATTCAATTTATATGAAAAAGAGAAACAATTCCTAGTGGAACCCAAGTCTGGCAGAAATGGGCTTTTCAAGAGTCACTGGGAGTTTGAGCACCTGCTCAGAATGCATATAGCATTCAGCTCAGGGACTTCAGAGGCATTCTAGAAGGTGCCCACCATATGCAATGCTCAGATAGCTTTTGAGATACTTCACTCCCATTGGTAGGGAGCGCTACCATTCTCTACTGACCCAAGTTGTCCTTATCATATCTGTTGCCAAATAAAACTATTATTCCCTTCTTACGTATTCTGTGTGAGCACCTGAAATCAACAGAGACTGAAATTCAATAGTTCCAGGAAACATCCCACTCAGAAAGGAGTTAAGCTCAACAAGCACCCAAGGACTTCTGCAGGTTAGATGAAAGTGAAGTCATTTTGAATGTGCAAAAGCAGAATTTGCAAAGATAAGACCATGCTCAGAAAAGGCTCTATTTTCAGGTGCTTTTATGAGCCTGGGTGTGCAACTGTTGATGTTAATGACTTTTTGGCAGTTTTTAGTTTGCTAGCAAAGCAGCCAGGTTAAGGGCGACACACGAGGATTAAGGAACAGTAGGAGGCCTCCTTTAGAAAAAGAAGAAAATGGGCATTTTGCATTCACTGCCACTTACCTCCTGCTCTCGTTGAAATATTACAACCCGACCCCCCTTGTCCCCTGTCGCTAGTAATTCTCCCGTGTGGTTGAATTCTACCGTAGAGATAATGTCAGCTGAAAAGAAGAAGACAAAGGCAATTTAAGTAACTGCACACTTACTTGGAAACGACAGATAATAGACATACTTTTCTGTGCATTTAAGGGCTTAGGGTTTTGTCTCTGCAGTGGAATTTATAAGATCTTATGTTCTTTAAATTTCCTCGATGCCCACGCTGCCCTGTGGTCTCTTGAAACTTCCAGCCAGAACAAAAGGAAAAAGCACATTCAGACCCTTTTGTTGTTGGAAAGAAAAAAACGAATTTCTTTATGGCTCAGGGAAACGGCAGTTTTCTTTGACAGTTTCTCTTCCCACCGCAGATCCTTTGCCCACTTGTGGCTTTCCCCCTTTCTACTACACCAAGAAACTTTCCCAGACAGTTGTCCCTCGTGACTATTCATGACAGGGCTGGGGACTCCAATGAAGCAGGGCAGGGGCGCCTGAAGCTCACGGAACAGGAAGGGAGGGGGCACAAAGAAATTGCTGGAAAACTCGGGAGGATGGAAATTGCAGAAAGGAGCCGGAAAATGCTTCAGCTTGATCTACCTCCCTCTTTTCTGGTGAGCCCAATACTCCCTCTGGATGAGCACCGCCCTACTCCAACCCCAGGAATAGGGTGTTCAGAAAATAAGGTCACCAAGTCAGAGGGGAGAGGGCAATTTGCACTCCATATATCTAAACAGAGAAAGTACACAGGCCCCAGGAACTCAGATCACAGATAATTGCAGAAAGAATGCCAGCCTGCCAAGTCTTTCTTCAATGCTCGTTACCCCCGGAGGAACGCGGACAGGTAAATTACCTATGATTGGATTTATTAGGGCTATTTTTAGAAAAATGTCAGAGGTTAATTCCTCGGCAATTATTCCCCTGCAGGGCTCCAACAATTGCTACCGAGAGTGCAAATGAGGGTTTTTTTTTTTTTTTTTTAATCGGAGGCAGGGGAATTATGACGATGGCCTTTGACAGAGGAACATTCTGCAGATTATGTCCATGTGAGGAAAGCAAAGGGAAAACGGTGAGGTGGAAAACCAAGGCAATTACCCCTGAATAACTCAAATCTCACTTTCCTATCCTCATTTCAAGATTTTCTTTGTATGCCTGATTTGTTCAGGTAAGTAGTGTAAAATTCTCCACTTTACATATAACCATACTGTATGAACACGCTTCTAATGGTCACTCTTTGTGCAGAAGTAAAAGAATAAGGCTTAAGACACAGTCACTTTCAAGTTAGGTGTGTCTGAAAGAACAATTCACCGTTTCTTCTCTTGGCCTCTTACATGACGGATGGCAGGAGTAGCCAACTAAAAGCCCTGGGGACGATGAGATGACAAAAAGCACATGTGGGGAAGAAGAATGTTTGTGTCCCCTCTGAAGGGACAAGTGGCTAGTAGGCTTAAGCTAATTGTGGCCATGAAATATTGTCACATTGCCAGGTATTCTGAGTTTTTTTAAAAAGAGATCGGAAGTCCAGATTTTTATGCAAAATCTCTTAAACTTTATATATTGACAACTGGCTTTTCAATGGCCTGGCATTAAAAAAACATAGATCTAGCCACATCTCATATGTACACTGCAGTACTATTCACACTAACCCAGACATGGAAACAAACTAAATGCCCACTGGCAGATCACTGGATAAAGAAGTTGTGATATGTGCTCCATGGAATACTACTCAGCTTTAAAAAAGTTGAAATCTTGCCATTTGTAACAACATGGGTGGCCCTTGAGGGATTGTGCTAAGTCAAATAAGTCAGAACAGGAAACACAAAAACTGAATGATTTCATTCATATGACAAATATAGAGAAAAAAGGCAAATGAATAAATAGAACAAAAACCACTCGTGGACGATGACAACAGAATGGTTAGCAGAGGCGCAGGGGATGGGAAGCACAGGCCAAAGGGGTCAGTTAGTGGTGAGCTAGAACTTTGGCAGTGGCTATGGGCATAGATACCTTTATCAAGGTGAGAAGCTGTGCTCCTAAAACTTATAGAGTTGTGTAAACCAATGGTATATTAAGTAAAAAAGAACATAATCTTGTTGGTGGGTTGAATATGGCTTGTGGGCCACCAGCTTGTGACTTCTGGTGCATAGTTGTAGGGTAAGGTAAAAAGTATCAGGCTTTTCTGTCCTCCCGCCATTAGGATAGATCATGGGACCCTGTGGTCCTGGCAGGCACCTGGAGTAGGGTGTGGGCATATGTAGATGGGATTCACCTGGGCTGAGACTGGCTTTTAAGGGTGGCATCATGGGGACGCCAGCAGAAGCAGAGAAGCAGAACCACGAGAAGAACCATGAGTAGAGCAGAGAAGCAGAGAAGCAGAACGAAAGAAGAACCACGAGCAGAAGCAGAGAGCAGAGCAGCAGAGACCACCAGAGAAGGCCGGAGAGCCCAGAAAGAGTGAAGACTTGCTGGGGGCTGGGAGGCCTCCTGCCTCCCGGCCCCGCAGCACCCCTGCCTGCCATGTACCTGGTAAATCCCAAAAAAAGCCTGAAAAGCCACTGAGGGCTCTAAGACTCTGACTCCTCCTTTACCCTGTCTGCTGGATTAGAGATCCTGCTCTCTGCCATTCCTGCCCACTACAGTGGTCTTCCTTTAGAAAAGGCCACCCCATTTTCTCTTGAAGATCACAACTGGAAACCCCATTCATCACCCACCCAGGAAGATGCTTCTGAATGACCTGCATGGTTCCTTGCTTCCTGATGTAAGTTCAGAAGACACGTTTCTGGAACAAGCGCCCACTGAGGAGTAAGAGAGGCCAACAGGTGGGTAGACCAATTGCTGCAAGTGAATCATTCGACCACTTGCCCTTGTTGCAGCGTGCACACCTTAGCCAAGTGCTCTCATGTGCAGAGGAGAGACAACTGCTGAGTGTCTGCAGCTACCACAGGCAGCCCTGGTTGGAAAGCACTTGATGCTAGCATGCACAGCTAGCAGTAGTTACTGCCGCTGGCTCTCCAGCATGTGGTCACCAAAGGCTTACTCAGGGAATTTCCTGACTTGGGGCGAAGTGGGCAGCAGAGAGGGCTGCTCCTGGTCACTTTCAGGCTGCCCTCAGGCACTGAGAGTGAGCAATGCTCTCAGACCACTGAAAACACAAACACCTCCCAGAGAGAAGGAGCAGCGGGAATGATGAGAGGCTGTTGGGGAGACTGAGCTGGGCTGAGCCAGGCTACTCTCATGTCATTAGGGTGAAGACCCTGCTTAAGTGCAATAATGCCCTTGCATGTGGCAGCCACGTTAACCAGACCCCAAGATGGGCCTACCCTTTGGTAAAGCTGGGTTTCAGAGAATTAAATAGTTTTCCTAGGTCAGCCTTTAGCTCAATTTCCAAGAAAATGTCACTCTTAGAGAAACACAGCTCCCCTCCCGGGATGGCTCAAAAGTCTGAAGTCAGCGTTGTCTTTTTGCTGGGATGCTCTGACAAAGTTGTCACTGTCTGTTTAAGATATCCACACAGGTCAAAACAAGGTAGGCCCCAAACTCAAATCTAATCATTTGATTAGACCTCTGCAGGATGGGATATCAGGCTGGTCTCAGCGAATAAACATGCCCCTTTGCTTGCAAGTGTCAACCCTCCTTGGACTGTCTCCCTCAAGAACTTTGCATCAGAAAGGGTGATTGGCAGGTAGGATTTGGAAATTTCTTGGTCCCGTTGTCAGGTCCCTATATTAGTTTGAATCCTGCCAGCCAGTTGGTGTTTATACTAAGTTGTTTATAGGCAGCTACTGTCTACCTCCCCTTGGAGCATCTGCCAGTGCAGCACCAGTTAATAATACTTGCTTTGAACTTTCCTGTTTCCTGACTCATTTATCATGGCTAAGCCAGTAGGTGTAACCAGAATACTTTACTGCCCCATCCATCTCTGCATATCTTCATCTACGACTGTTTAATAATTGATGCAAAACTCATGAATCACCCTGCATTCCAATTTCAAGAGACTGAAACTTCTGATACAAATACTCTTGTTTTTGTGACACGCTTCAGGGCAGAGCAATTTAAATTTTAAAACAGATGCTACTCAAGACAAAGTAATTTTGTGAGGACAAGAAGAGGAGACCGTGGTGATAATGCATTAGCAAACTTAGAGACAATGCCTTCATCTGAGCTCATGCTCGACAGAAATCAATTCATTAAGCTCAACATGACTTTCCTCTATAAATGATCATGTTTATATGACAACCCATTTTATTAAACGCCCTACAAAATCATGCTGTTGAGCAAAAATATACTTGTTATATACCTGTTCTATAAAGAGGTGGATTGAGTGCATATTTTTGGCTAAAAACAAACAAAAAAAACCCAGAAGCCGAAAGCAGCTAGAGAGTTCAAATGTAGTTAATGTGATTCTTTCGAGAAACCCTGGGAGGATGCTGTTTGCCCTGCGCCACATCTATCTGTGCTGATTTAATTTCCACAAGATGGTGGCCTGGTAACCCCATTTCTAGTTCAGCAGGCACGGCTAAGACTGAGTTCTTCTTTGTTAAAATCAATCTCAGCAACTTCCAAAGGCTCCAGACTGGTCATTTCATACATAATGTCTCTATTTGCCTGAATACTAGAACTTGACTTGGCAATTGTAACCATGGGGTGGTGAGGCTGGAGTGAGGAGGAACCCCAGGTTCATGCCCTTGCCTCCCACAACATCATGCCACCTGGGGGTCTCTGCAATGCCAGAGGACTGGGCTGAGCAGGCACTGGAGGATCAGGCGATGGACAAGTCACCTGGTGGGGGACTGTTTGATAAAATGATGACTGTTTAGACATAAAAAGGATCTCGATGCCAGTTCTCTGATGGGACAAGGTCTGCCTGACCAGGTCGCTAGCACTGGCCTCTCTGCATCCATCACAGGGACTGAAATGAGCAGGTAATGCAATTCAGCCTTCAGCATCCATTACATGTTTTATTTGTCATCTGGAAACATTTGGTAGATAATGCTATAAAGCTATTTACCCCACTGGTATCAGCAGCCTAGCTCTGCCTACTCACTACTTAGCTTTCTTCTTCATGATCGGG